GGTTACTCTCATTCTGGTACTGCCAAGAGGCTTCGTGATTGAGTCATTGCTTCAAGTTGAAGGGCTGGATTCCCAGAATGAGCATCACTGTGAGCCTCAAAAGTTCGTACAACGTACAAGTTCCGCAGGAATGCTTTAGTAATTCTTTCGGCGCGCTTGCTTGCTTGGAGTCTAAGCGTCTCGTTTCTACATACACCATGCATGTGTGCAACATGTTGAGAGCTTCCCGCGGGTGAGTCCTTTCGTAACCTGTGCTGAGCCGAGTCTTGAGGTATTCAAGGCATGGATGGGGCGATTGGTCCTGGAGTTGGGGAAGCTCATGGGCGGACGGTTCTTCGGGCCGCTGGCCCGAGGAGAACTGGAGGGACAGCCGCGCCTCGCGCGGCTCGCAGAACTGGAGGGAGGGCTCGGTTCGGTCCAAGTGGCCTTCCGGAGGCGCAAAGAGCTCGGGGGATACCGCGGAGTGCGCCAACTGGAGGGATCCCAAGGCTGACTGGCCCGGGGTAAAGGAGGCGAAGGATACGGCAGACTCTTCTGCGAATTGGAGGGGCTCAGCCGCAAAAGGAGAGCCACCTTCTTCCCGGACCCAAGTGAGCAAAGGAGCAAGCAAGGAGGAAGCAAGCAAAGTAGCTCAGGAAGTAGCTCAGGACCAGACAGAGTACGAGACTGCTGTCAAATCCATTAGCAAGAGACAGATGGAAGACTCCCCGAAAGGCAAGGGCAAGAAAGGCAAGTCCAAGAGCAAGGCCCAAGCGGCTGAGGATGAAGAGGATGAGAATGTGTCTGGTGAAAACGTAGATGACCGCGCGACTGCTGTCCATTCCATTGGCAAGGGACACATGGAAGACTCCCCGAAAGGCAAGGGCAAGAAGGGCAAGTCCAAGAGCAAGGCTCAAGCGGCTGAGGATGAAGAGGATGAGAATGAGTCTGATGAAAACGTAGATGCCGAGGACGATGAGCTTGGTTCGCAGGATGAGGCTGAGGAGGAGGAGGAAGAGGAAGAAGAGGAGCAGGACGAGGAACAGGAAGAGGAAGAGGAAGAGGATGCCAACGATGAGCTGGATGAAGATCAGCTGGACGATGAGAAGGATGATTTCGAAGCAGCTGATGCTGGAGTGGTTGACGCGGACGAAGGCGTCGATGAGGGTGCTGACGGCGCTGAGGAGAGCCAGCGAGCCTGCAGACCGGACCTTTGCATCGTGCAACGTTTTCATGCGCAACCACCGGCAGTAGCCTTGTGCGTTGGCCAATGCGGGCACCGCAAGCACGCAGGGTTGCGCCAACAGTAGCGTATGGGAAGGTGGATCTTGTAAACGCACTGTGGTTCTTGGGTTTTTTGGTGGTTGCTGCACGGACCTGGCAGGAAGTGGATGACGAGCAGGAAGCGGACAAAGAGCATGAAGCGGACGAAGAACAGGAAGTGGATGAAGAGCGGGCAGATCTAGAGATGCGAGAAGAAGATGAGGAGCAGGAAGTAGATGAAGAGCAGGACGAGCGAGAGATGCAAGAAGGTGAGGAGCAGGAAGAGGAGGAGCAGGAAGAAGATGATGAGCAAGAAGCGGAGGAAGAGGAGGAAGAGGAGGAAGAGCAGGAAGAGCAAGAAGAGGAGGAAGAGGAGGTGGAGGAAGATGCAGAAGACGAGGAAGACGAGGACGAAGATGACGATGAAGACTTGACTGCTCCGAAGGGGAAGGGCAAAACGAAGGGAAAGGGCAAGGGGAAACTCATGAGCAAGTCGAGAGCTTATGATGAAGATGAAGATGAAGATGATGACGATGAAAGCGATGAAGAGGATGAAGCATCATCACCGCCAAAAGGAAAGAGCAAAGGCAAAGCAAAAGGAAAGGGCAGCTTGGCAAGGAACCAGCCCCTCCACCCTCACGAAAGTAAACCTTTCAATTAAACCATTTGATGCTGAGGGAAGGGCAAGGTCGTGGACGACGACGACGACGAAGACGAAGACGAAGACGAAGACGAGGAAGAAGGAAATGTGGCGCCTGCCTCAGCAAGCAGCGACGGGCAACGTTTGGCGGGCCTCGTTGCCACAAAATGTCCCGGATGACGCAAAGCCAGGTGGTTCACAGAGTAGTGTCAGTGTCACAAGTTTCCCAGATATCACAAACCGAAGTAGCCATTGTTGCCAATTGTTCGTATGCCCCCTTTCGTGCCAGGAGCTACAGACATGTCAGTTTCAATAGTTTCACGACTGTCAGCATGATGCCATGTGACTGAGCGGCTACACGGTCTGTGCGATGCGCACTCAAGAACCACGTGGGCAGCTGTTGCGATTGGCTTTTGGCACATCATGAGTCCAATGCCAGCTTCGGCCAAGGCGCCAAAGGGCAAAGGAGGCGGAGGCGGAGGCTCGGCTCATAGAATCACAGATCCGAATCTTGGTCAGCCTTGCTGAGTTCAAGCAAACATGCCATGAGCAGGCAAGGGAAAAGGCAAAAGTGGCAAGGGCAAGAGCAAGGGAAAGAGATGACTGGGCATGTGTACAGGGAGCCCCCGCTTGACACGCGGATCAAACCAGGAGAAAGGTCGCCTTTGCCGAGCTCAATAATTGAGAAAATCATGCCTTGCCAGTCGCTATCTTGCTGCGGGCTTGAGAAAATTTGGCTGTAGGCCAGGCCGGGATTGTGTGTGAGGGCTTCAGCTTCGCTGCAGGGACTCGCTTCGGGCCGATTTGGTGTCCCGCCGATTTTTTTCGGCCCATTTGCTTTCAGCGAGCCGCGCCCAAGTCCGACATTTTGGGCAGCAAGGCTCGGGCTTGGCGTCGGTCGCTGCCTGCTTAGTGGCAGACCTCAGGCTTTGCCACCAATGGCATGTCGGACGGAGCTGAAGCGGCTCCGGCCCCACGGCGGCAATTGGCTGTGGCTCAATAAATGGGATCCCCAAACATTAGCCCTGCCCTTGGCAAATGTTAACAACAAGTAGAACCTGCGCAACCCTAGCTCTGTAATTTGGAGCCAGGCCCAAGTAGCGAACTTGCAGCGTTTGAAGAGTCGGCAGCCGAGCTGTATGGCTTCGGGCAGGCGACTGCTGCTCCGCCTCGGCGTCAGCGCCTCAGAATCGGGATGGCGCTCTCTGCATTGGTTGCGGGTCCGGATTTCGGGCTTCTGGTTTGACCGTTCAGCTACGGGTTCTAGCAGGCTGACCCTCTGACATGCTTGTTTCCCCAACAGCTGCAAGCTTTGGGCTCTCAGCCCAGGTAGGCTCAAGGGTTCCACAGGGTCCCACAAGGGTTCTACAAGGGTTCCACCAAGGTTTCACGGCTATGGGGTGGTCTGGGGTTCCACCAGCGTTCTTGGGGTTTTGTGAGGGTTCCACGAAATTCTGCGCGGTCGGGGACAAGGGGTTCCAACAGTTCGAGGGCTATGGGGTGGTCTGGTTCCACGCAAATATACAAGGCTACGAGGCAAGGGGACGCCTTAAAAGCGACAAAGCAAAACCACTATGGGTGCGGTCGGGTCCCGATCAGGGCCCGTTGGCTGAACCTTAACAGCTAAAGCAACTGCAAAACCGGTGGGGCCATGGTCGGGCACCGATCGGCCCCACCAGACGGGGCGGAATCCCTTTGCACAAGACAGCACCGCTTCATGCTGTTGGGGATGTTGCCCGTGTTTTTTCTTCTGTTTTTTTCTGGGGGGGATTTCGCGTGTCACTGCGTGAGAATGGGGAACGCTGCGCGTTTGAAGCGCGGCCTTGGCCAGATTCAGGCTTGTTTCTTCAAGTCCCACCCCCACAAAAAAAAAGAAGCAAAAAACAATTGGCACGTTGTGTGATGACACCTAGGCCCAGACGTGTGTAGTGTTCTGTCCATTCGATGCGTTCACTGTACATTCCCGGAGCCGGCATTAGGAACGGAGAAGGAGATAGAAAACAGCACGCTGGCGATGCTGCAAGCTTTCCGTACTGCCAGAAGTGTCCCTGGCAAGGACTGCAGGAACAGCCAGAAACCATTGATTTCCAAGAAGCAAGTACAGCAAAGGCTGAGGATGCTGATCCTCTCAGAGCCTTCGGCCAGGGGGTCGGGCCGCCATTTGGCGAGGAGCTATTGCGGCTCATTGACGAGCATGCCTACTCGTGCGAGGACGGTGGACATTTCGATGGAACCCAACCACACCAGCTTGTGCGCAGGAGTATGCACAAGTGCTTCCGCAGGCTTGGGGCAGGCGCTTTTTTTTTGGGTCTTGTTTGTCTTGGTGGCATGTTTTTTTTGCCAGCCCGGTTGGTTGGTTGGTTGGCTGGCTGGCTAGCTGGCTGGCAGGCTGGCTGGCTGCTTGCTTTGCTTGCTTTGCTTTGCTTTGCTTTGCTTGGTTGCTTGGTTGGTAGGTTGGTAGGTTGGCTGGTTGGCTGGCTGGCTGGCTGCTTGGTTGCTGGTTGGTTGGTTGGTTGGTTGGTTGGTTGGTTGGCTGGTTTGGTTGGTTGGCTGGTTGGTTGGTTGGTTGGCGGCAGAGCCCGGTTGAGCCTAAGCAAGCTTTGTGCCGAGGGTCAGCAAGTTGACGGCAGCTCTTCGAGCAGATTTGCGAGGGTCAGGCCTGACATGTCCAGACTCCAGACGGTTCCATCATCACTTTTGTCGCAGATGGTCAATCCATTGGCATGCATGAAACATGGTCTTCCCCCACGGAGTTTCTGTCATGATTTCCATCGCTGATGCTGAAACAAGCTTTTTCCTCCAATCCCTTTGCCACAAAGAGGCACTTCCAAGGCAGACGTTGCCAGCTGGCCGTGCTGATGGCCTAATTTGCGTTTTGCAACCTGCTGCCATGAGCCAGGTTTCAAAGAACATGTACCAGTGGATGCAGGGACGCGGCGAGCTTAGTGTGTGAAGTTCAAGGATTCCAACTGCGTCAGCAGGCCGAAGCATGAATGACTTGCTTAAGGTCTGGCATTTTCAGGCAGGTTGCAAGAGTGTGCTGCAGAGCATTCCCCAACCTTTGGGAATGGCGCCACTTGACCACTGCCGCAGTGAATTCCTCTCCTCGCTGGGCGTTGCAACCGATTCCGTGCCAACGGCTCCGCAGGCCATCGGGCCATCGGTGTGTGTGCAGTCAACAGACAACTTTCCAGTTGGCTTTCTAGAATTTAGACGGGCGAGAAGAAGTCGTTTGTTTTTCCATTTCCGCCTGCCTGTTTGTTTGTCTGTTTGTGTTTCTGTCTGTCTGTCTTGTTTGGCTACTTTGACGACATTTGCTCACAATGGTTCCGACATCGATTTTTCCCGAATGCGCGGCAGGCCGTGTTGAGCACACCAGCGGTGACGCAAACCTCGGAGCCCGTCGAAAAGGCCGCGGAGCTCGCAGCCGTGCGAGGGCCTCGGCGCGCCGAATTCGTCGATTCGCCGGCAAGCGAAGTGAGGCTCGACCACCTGGAGCAAGGCCCTGCGAAGGCCTTGCAGGCCGAGGGCAGATGCTTCTTTGCTCAGCTTTTGTTTGTTTGTCCGTCCCTTTTTCTGGTTGGGGCGGGGATGGCCCCTTTCATCTTTTGGCTTCAATCAGAAGCCAAGAAAAGGCAGCCTTGTGGATTTGGATGCGAGGAAGGCCGACGTTTGGAAGCCGAGCTCAAGGCGATGGCGGTTCTTTTCAGCAAGTCGCCTTGTGCCCAAGCGGGGGGGCGGGCAATTGCTCCGCCCATTTCTTTCTTGCAGAGAATCACCGAGGATTGCTTCACAGCACTTGCCTTTCCCAAGTTTTCCACGGGTTTCTCACGGCTTCAAAGCCGTGGGTTTCCCAAGCTTCCCATGAGCTAAGAATGCGGGCTTCTTTTGCGGGTTTTTTTTTAACTGGCTTCCCATGTTCTCCTTCAGCTTGCGCCAGGAGATGGTGAAGTTGCTGGAGAGGCTTCGCGCCGATAGCTCGGTCACCTCGATTGGCTCCATTTCTGGTGCTGAGCTGCTGGGGTGTTTTTTTCTGGTGCCGTGACCCTGGGCTGTCTGGGCGCATGTGAGGCGATCTGGCCCGAGCTTCGTACTTCTGTGGAAGGTGCTTTCGAAAAAGGGACGCACCTCAGGAGATTGCACCGGAGCCTGCAAGTCTTGCTTGCCTGCCTACTGCCCGCAGGACAAAAGACATTGCCCAAGCATTGAAGCAGGTCCGGAGGGGCCTGCAGAGTCGACTTTCTTGTGTTTTTGTTGCCCTAACTGCAACAGGTGCTGCAGTTCCGGCGGCAGCTATGTGCTGCCACGCCCAGCATTGAAGCATTGTGTCTTGCTTAGTTCTCAAGATGCTGAATTTGGAGGCTGAGTTCCAAATACACCGAGGTGTGACTTGCTGGAAGACGCCACAGAGCAGGTTCGACAGCGGGAAGAGGAGCCTTTAGCTTGAGGCGATTCTCTCGTGTTTTTGCGGCTTGATGTCGACCCCAGATTGATACACCCATGTTTATTAAGATAGGGGTGTCCCTGGTACTATTGGGGATTCATCACTTTGGTGCGGATCACCCCCACATCAATGAACAGGCTTTGTTTCATCCGGGGTATTAGCTTCTCGGTTTGCGATGCGTGAGGAGCGCTTGCGCTTCAAGGCCATGACGAGGGAGGTCCTGGATGGTCAAAGCAAGGCGCGAGAGCCAACGCGACAGCCAACGCGAGAGCCGGCCTGCAACTCTTCGTCTTTACACCGAGCGTGGCCGCAGCTGTCGGGGGGCAGATGGGCACAGAGCACGTGTGGAAAAGCCTGACAGACAAGCATTCCATTTTAAAGGCGCATGCCGGACTGAAGAACAAGAACATATAAGATTGGCACTTGTGAGGCAACTGTCATGTCTTGATGCCATGCGTGTCCTCCAAGGGAGCTTGGCTGACAGCGACTGGTCACAACCAACATTTGCAGCAAAGAGTGCATGTTTTGATGGAATATGCTTACTGCCTTGGAAGAGTGCAAGCAGAGATGCTGCATCGTCTTTTCTGAGTGGGCCAGCGCCGAGCACACTCGTCACCTCTTTTCAGGCATTCTCCGCAGGTGGCATGGGCAAGCGCCGACCACGTCCAGAGGACATGCTAAAACACCCGAAGCTGGATCGCCAAGTCAAGGTCCGTCTGCTTTACCAGTCACCGGAGATTTACGCCACGGACGTTGCCTCTGAGAAGCCTTATATCGGCCCTGATTACGGCTGCTTCAGGGCTGACCAGGATGGCAAGGGCGAGATGGGCTTCATGCATCCTGAGATAACATTCAATGCTCTACCACCCATTTTCGGGGGAATCCAGGAGGTGCATGTGCATTTGGAAGACACGACCTCCAATCTCGTGTTCTGGGACGCTGACTTCAAGCTCCCTATGTTGGATCCGGTGGTCAACCTGGTGGGCAAGACACGCCTGAAGAAGTTCGCGATGCCCAAGAGTATGATGGACAAGTTCTACAAGCTCTGCGTACCGAAGGATGACATCAGGCCTCACTTCTTTGACTTGAGTGTTCGCACCATTGGCAAGTACTGGGACGAAGATCTCAAAGAGTTTCGGCCGAACAAAGGCTTCGCAAGGGGCAGAAGCCCTGAAGCGCACATTGGTTTCACAGTGCAGCGGATGCCGTCGCTGGATTTCGAGGGCAAAGAGAAGCCTGGCGACTTGGCTGTTTGGATCTTTTAGACTTTGACATGTTGGTAAATGGGTATGGGTCAAAATCAAACCACAAAAAAACCGCAGGTTTTAGTCCATGTTGGGGTTCCATTCGAGTACCTATTTTTGACTCAGACTCTTTGCAAGGGGTTGAGCTGTTTAAGCCATCCAGGCAAGTGGAAGAAGCCTGGCAGCTCCTATGCGAATAATGCTCCAGTTCTGCAGGATCCTCACGATCAACTGATGCATGGCCACGTCGACCCCTTCTATGACGCCATGAAGGGCAAGACCTACCGGGGGTACTACGATTTCATCATCGAGAGGGGAGGGCGAACCAAAGACAAGTATGAGTACCTGGCTAAGTATGGCCCTCCGCCATTTCTGACGGATCCACCCGGCTGGGAGGACTTCGAGGTCAAGCAGAAAGCTTTCTAAGCCTTCCAGAACTCGAGGGCAGGCTTCACGAACAAGAGCAGACAGAAAACAAGCGCCAGATGTACTGACTGTGAGCGCATTGCATGGGCTTTGAAAAACCTGACAAACCGTGCAAGCTCACGCCCCTACGTTCCAACCAGCCAAAGCAGGTTCTTCCTGCGTGAGGCAAAGTTGGCTCGCCAGCATCATTCATAGCCTCTTGAGCTTCACCTCAACGTACTTGCCTTCAGTGACCAGGAAGCTGGAAATTGGTCAATGCCTGTCAAAACGCTAGACTTCTGCCACGTAAGTTGTGTATGCAAGGCTGCGCGTTCATTGATAGAGGCTAGAAGGTTTTTGGGGGCTCCGGGATTTGCGAAAGGGTCAAATCACTTGGCCTTGATTCTGCAGGCGCTTGCTGCAAGAGTAGCAGCGGTTCTATGGCTCAAACGTGGCAAAGCCAGCCAAGAGCCCAGACACGTGCATCAAATGGATTGTGTTTTCTAAATTTGTATAGCCTATTTATTTGCAACCACTCACCTTTGCGTTGGCGTGGTTTGGTCGGTGTTCCCGATTTCCAGGTTCAGCCCGGCCGGAGCAAACCAGGCATGACGGAACTGCGTCCAAGATTGCAGTCTGACCTTGGCGCGCCAGGTTTGACATCGAGCAGGCGTCCGAGGCGCGCGAACTCGGACTGGACGAAGCGCCGCCAGTTGCTGCCGAGGCGTTGGAGCGGAACTTGGAGGCGCGCTGAATGCGAGAGGGAAAGGCGAGCGATGCGCCATGCGATGCGGCCGGTGAGGCGGCCAAAGACATGGAAAGTCGTCTTGTGAAAGGTGCTGGCACGGTTCAGGGCCGAGACAGGAAAAAAGCGGAGGGAGCACAGGCCGAAGATGATTCGGCTGTCGATCCCAATGCCGAGGTCATGAAGAGGGAAGCATGCCATCAGGTTGTGCAGCGCACAGTTGCCAGGCGCCAGTCCACAAGCGCTTTCGTCAGCCACACTATCTCGATTTGGGCTTTTCTTATGTGGGACACGTTTTTGAGCCAATTTGCAAGGGAAACAAAGAACACCACTTTACAGGGGATCTCCGTAAGTTTGAGACGGACCCATTTTGTTGCTGAGTGCTGCAGGCTCTCGGTGCTACGTGGCAAGGTTCTTTCCGCAGCGGAGGCTGTTTCTGCAGCAAGGCCGGAGACAAGTTGAGAGGGATACAATGTACAGTTCCCGCAACGCAAACCATCACCACTACAATGCAAGCGGTCAGCACTAGAATGCCTGGGCATCCTGGACAAGTGCCTGGTATAATATATTGTTTGGATGCACTTGTGCATCCATGCATCCATCTTTCTCTTGGCCATCCAAGAGGCCTCTCAACCATTCATTCGGCATTTGATTGAAGCAGTTCTGCGCGCGCGATGTTTCGCTTTGCGCAGGGCGGACTTGGCGGGAGCAAGGCGAAGTGGCCAAGCGGCCTTGACAGAGGCTGGTTTTTTCTTAAGGTTGCACCTGTGGGCCCCGAGTTTTTTGCAGCAAGCCCAAAGCCAACCCTAAAACCCACCCGAAAAACCAAAACCCGCCCGAAACCAACCGTAAACCCACAATCAACCAGCACTCACCCACTCCTAACCAGCACGAAGCCTAGACCAACCCTATATAAACCAACTCTAAGCCAACCCTAAACCCCTCACACACCTACAATAAATCCGCCCCTAAGCCCATCCTAAACCAGCAACAAACCAACCCTAAACCTTCGCTTTACAAACCCATAAGCCAACCTAAACCGAACCAAACCAGTCTGAACCAAAGCTTTGATGCTGGGGGAGTTTTTTTGTTTTTTTGTTTTTCTTTTTCCGGCAGATGTGTTGATGCTGATCATTGTGTTAGCAAATGCGACACAACATGTCAATCGAACGCCCGAACCAGTGAAAACCCCGCCGCACCTAGGAACATAACAAACCCTCCGCCCGCACATGTCTTCAGCTTCCCTGTGGATTGGTGGTTTAGAGGTTAGGGGGAGGTTCCTCATATTAAGCCTCTGCGAAATCCAGGGTTTCAAATCAAACCACCAATCCGCACCAACTGAGCCACAATCAAAACCTGGGTAGATGAAGGCTAATAAGGGACAATCCCAGCCATAAGTAGTTGCGGCCGCCTTCGTATTTCCTTACATGGTTCTGGGTCACCCATTTTCAGACCGTGTTTCGATTGTGACTCAACTGAGGGGAACCTGATGTCCTGATGTCGGTGCAAGGCAGCGGCCATCGCTTTGGAGCAGCTGATCGCGGCTTTTGATGAGGCTGGGCTCAGTCGTGAGCGCTGGGCTCACAAGTTACATCTCTGTGGCCGTGTCAGCACAAACGCCTACCCCGTTGGATGCCAAAACATGTTTGGACTTGCTGCTATCGCAGGTGTCAGAGACGTGTGGCCATTCTCATGTACATATATTTATATATTTGCCGACTTGCTCTAGTTGAATGCTGCATATGCAATGCCATGGCACATTACATTGAAGCCTTGGTTTGCATGTCCTGGCTCATGTTTTGCACCCTTTTGCAACGTACAGGAGCTCCGGCAGATGGCAGAACATGTTTAGCCACCAGTGGCTTGTCACCTCTGCCCGATTATAGGCAATGTCAGCAATCGAGGGCTTCCTCTTTTCCAGTGGGACCGCATGGAGCTTTGTTGCGAGCCAACAGCTCCAAATGAAGCAGAGTGAATTCAAGCGCAAATCAACAGCAACCACAACAAGACCCCCGCAAAAGAAATATCAAACCAAAGAAGCAATGCGGCATCAAATGTTGCGGGCTCCAACCGGGTTTGATGGGGGTCATAGATGGGTAGCTCAACTAGACCCACTGTACCCACGTCAGAAGCTAAATGGGCGAAACTGAGCGCTGAATGAGAGGAATTCACGGTGCAGGCAGCTTCGCATGTGGATGCCGGTGGTGGGCGGGGGGCTCCTCGCGACCCGCAGGCAGGATAAGAAACGGGTCGACGGAGTAAGAAACGAAGTGGAGCATGCCCACAAGCGTCCTTTTTAGACAAATTTTGATTAAAAATAGATGGCACTGGTTTTGGGGTTTCTTCCATGTACCAGGGCCATCTATTTTCCAAAAGGCCACCTATGAGCACGCCCTTCCTTTTGTGGCCACCGTGGGGACGGGAGGTTTCTTGGTGATGTCAATTTTCTGATTTTCAGACATATATGCTGGAGAAACAAGCTAGCATGTATCTTTCAATTGAGTCGAGGGCTCCTTGAAACGTAGACACCGGACCAGCGAAGCCAGGCTTCTTCCGGGCCCGACGGAGAGCTGACTCCTTCGCCGTCTGCCATTGTGGTAACGACCAAGCGTACATCGCAACAAGATGTGCTGGAGGACACGTTTGCCTGGAGCGGTCCGAGCTTCTGGCCAGCGCCCCTCCTTTGCGCAGGATCTCGCCAAGAGTATCGGCATGACTGGGAAGCCAGCTTGATTTGAGACCACTTGGCCAGTGTGGCCCTCGCATGTTTCACAGGAAAAGAGCGAAAATCGATCGACAGACTCCATTTGGAACAGACAGGTTCTGGCAGGGATTATTTCCTCTGTGCGATATGATCTTATGCAGCACGATTGAGCTTGAAGCTTTGAACCACAGGGGTTTGTCTGAATCTGGGGCCCCCCAAAGTCTTTGGCTTTCCTTTGAGTTGCCCTTGAACCCCAGCCCAAAGCGGCATGATTTCTCCAACGGCACACTCCCGCAGCTGTCGGGTTCGACGCGGTCCGGAGTTGCCGGTTCCGCACGCCATCAGCTCAGTGAGTGGAAGTGTGCCTGCAGTCCCCGAGGGTTGGCTTCCTTGGCGCCAACCAGAGAGCTTTTCCGAATTCTGCGAGAAGCTCGATGAGGTCTTGGATCATGGCTGCCGCCAGCGAGCTTGCAAGCATTCAAGCATTGTGCTCAGGAAAAGCTGTGCCGTTCCGTGCTTTTTTGGGGGACAAGGAGGCTTCAGCGGTTGATCCCATCCAGAACAACTTGAGTTCCAGTCCACCTTTCGTGTTATTTGCGGTTTCCCGCTATTCCGAACAAGACCGAGTCCGCCCAGTCCAAAGATGTCGAAAAACCGCTGACCGAAAGCCAAGAACCGGCGGTGGCCCATAGCCCGAAAGAAGCCCGGCGCGAAGGCGGAGCTGCAGTCCGTGAAGCGGGCGTTGCAGAGTGGAGCGCGGCACCTGGGTTGCTCCGAGGGCCAAAATGGATCGACCGTTTGCCCGTGCGTGGGATGTTTTGTTGGGTCGTTTTCCTGGTTTTGCAGGGTGAAAGGGCCCCAAACCCGAGATATAGGCTTGAGCCAAGAAAGGAGTTTTTGGTTTCAGGCGCAATGGGCAAGTTGCAGCGAGAGCAGAAAGAGCAGCCAGATTCAGCCAGACGTGGATGAGTGGCTGGGTTCTGTGAGGCAGCACACCTGGGACTTCAGGGTGAGGCACTACAGAAGTACCTGCTCCAGTTGAATGAAAAGGAGCTGCGGGCTGGGGAGCGAGGGTGGGATGTGAGGATGTGATCGGGTGGCCAAAGAAGCATTTTTTGTGGGTCGAAGCCCTTGTCGTTGCAAGCTGACCAACGTTCAGTGTTCGTAAGGATGCAAAACGCTGCATCAACCACAGGGAACCCCACAATGCAAAATGATACATGGCAGAAAAGGCACCCCGACCGCGAAACCGCTTTGTTTTGCCTGAACACATTTTGTTCGCATTGCCAGATTGCACGCGGAGCCGCGGAGCACACAGTGAAGCCCGCAAGGCCTCAAAGCAAGTGCTTTCGCAATTCAATTCCAGGAGAACCTCTTGCTGTCCAAGCAACTGCGCAATCTGGCCTGCTTCTCGGGCCGATCAGCGGTGCCAAACTGGTGCAAAGTTGTGTGACATTGAGGGCTCCGGCATGTTGCCATGCCATGGAAAAAGTGCACTTGATATAGCTCCATCCAGTGTCACAGAATGACAGACAAGATTCAACCGGTACAGCTCAGCCTCAACCGTTGCAAGGTTATATTCAAGCACGCGTCTCGCAGTTCGTTACAAGACTCCAAGAAAGTCACGAGGCAGTGGAGAGCTTCGAGCCTCTTCTGCCGGCCGCGTCACAGGCCCAAAAGAAATTATTTCGCACCCAGAGGCCCCTGTGCTCCAGGCTTCCGCGCCTCCAAACCCTGCGCGGGGATATGCTCACACCAACGGGTGCGCCGGCTGCGCGACTCGTGCGGCACATTGCGGGTCGAGTGACCGATGCGAAGGTCACATCAGCCTCGCCCGGCGCCTGCGGGAGAAGCGAAGGCCCAGACGTCAGAGATGCTGCGATTGATTCAGCTGAGCCGGCGGGAGGCGTTCAACCGCGAGAACGTTCAGGAGGTGCTGGTCTTGGAAGCTGTGTGTCTTGTTTTCGTCCAGTGCCTGAAACTCAGGTTCTGAGCCACATGGCGGAGTATGAGGCCGGAATGCTCACATCTTGCCGTCTTGCCCAGCGGGTGTTTGGCTTCTGAGGCTGTGCCCACTGAGTGTGCCAGCGCCTAAGGCAGTGGCTGAGAGGCCATCCGCTTACACCGGCATGTCAAGTACTGGAGGAGGGCAAAGGGATGAACACACACACACCACCCACCCACCCACCCACCCACCCACCCACCCACCCACCCACCCACCCACCCACCCACCCACCCACCCACCCACC